AAAAGCCCACATATTGGTGAGACCTTAATGCGCACATAATCTATACATTTACCTCCCTTTTGAAATTTCTGGATCTGCCGCTGCTATTGTTTTTTCTGACTACAATTGTCGTCCTTCAGTTATTACAAGGACAGGAGCAACTGAGACACCCATGAAAGCTTATGTTTGGACACTTCACTTATAGCAAATAAGCAATTTGGACACTCCCCTGTACTATATATTTTTGCAGTTGTGTAAAAAGATAAATTTAACACCGTAAAAAAGTAAGGGATTTTAATAACTTACTGACGTTTCGGACGTTAATCCTTCGTTGGTGAAAGAGTCCTTCGTTGGCGGCAAAGAGACAAAGGATTAACGTCCAAAACATCAGTAAGTTATTTCCCTTAATTTTTTACGGTGTTTAATTTATCTTTTTACACAACTGTTTATTTAGAAACACCGATGCAGCTCACTAGTTTATCGTGAGTTTCCACTATATTTTTGCATATGTGTTACCTGGCCGAAGTGCATTTATTAAAATTTATGGATTTTAAATAAATTTCAAATGAGCAATCAGACTCTGAAATGGGAAAATAGGTATTTAACTCACCTGTGTGCCAGGTGGAGCAGACATTTGGGCCTGTCCTGGTACCATACCAGGAACTGCCACAGGAACCCCATTTGCACCAGCAGGCATTTGAGCCTGGCCTGGTACCATAGCAGGTACTGCCACAGGAACCCCATATGCACCTTTGGTCATGATGTATGCTTGTGGGCCATGTTGGGTTTGGAGATAGAATACCTGGCCCTGCAATAATTCATGAAAATAAAATTTTTGAAATTTCCAGCTTGAGCAATCCTTGAAGAACATATTTAATTTATGCGGTGACTATTATTACTTAATAATATATAAAAAGGTATCAGAAGTATTTGAGTAAAAATAACATTTTATTGATTTTCCATTTCTCACATTCACGGGAGAGTCCTCAATCCCAATTTGGGTGGGGGTGTGCCACACCCCGAAAACCCTTACCCTATCGCAGACCAATTTTTTGTGGTTTTACATACCCTACCCCAGACTTCCTCTAATAGCGCTTAAAGCGTGGCCTAGCAGGTCGAGGCCCTAGCAGATATGTGATCACGGGCAAAACTCCACCCTACCCCAGACAATGAGAACTGTACCCTATCCTCGACAAACAACTACCCTATCTCAGACAAAAAGACTACCCTATCCTAGACAAATGGGAAAAAATGATACCCTATCCCAGACTTGGAGCTCCGAAAAAGGAACCCTATATAGCGGAGTACCCCCTCCCTTGGGGGAGAGTATTGATCTGTGTGAATTAATGGATAGCTTTCTTATAAGATGAATACGTTTGAAATTGACCACAAGTTAAAATCAACCTTCAGCCTTGCCAGGCGTGTATTTGCCTATGTAAATACACTCTGTCTATGATTTTTAGCCCTGCAATGTAAAATTAAATGCACCACTAAGGTTTCACAGAGACAATACCATTTGTGCAGGCTGTTGCATTGTAGGATTACAACAATCACAGCAGCCATTGCTGCAAGAACAAACACAGGCCCAGATACCAACACAGAACTCAAGAATGGCAAAGATAATGACCAGGGAACCCATAGCAACACTTGTGTTGCACTCCTTTTCTAGTGATATGTATTTGTAGTCATGATTGGGATCAGAAGGTCGGCTGGTAACATATTTTGTTGCATGACGACAAGCAGAGCCTCTTGTTAAGATTAGCATACCAATGACATACATAACGATGATTGCTGCAGCAAATACAGTAGCAACAATACTAAAACCAAGGTAGGTCCCAATCTGGAAGAACAATAATTACAAGGGTAACATG